ACTCAGCTCTTAGCTGTTGTCGAACTCTTTGCATTCGGTAGAGAGGAACCGGACGAGAAGGACAGAGTCTCATCCTGGGAGGTAGACAGACCCGAACCCGTTCATGCGGGGTTTACGGGGAATTTTTGACCGAGCCTACGGGATCGGTTTGTCCCATATTAAATTCGGCCTTGTGCCACATCCTTCCTCGTCGTATATATCGACTATCTAGGATCAGTTGAGTACGACTCAGAATTACACGAGAACTACCGACCTTCCAATAGTAGCACTCACTACTGGAGTGACTTGCTACGACCTTGTGCATAACTGTTACCTTTATTCTTATTGTACTTGTTTTAAAATAAACCTTGTTTTTCAAGTATATATTCCTATTAGCACGGAATATAACAACCTTAAAATGAGATATTTTTCTATATTTTTAAGTAAAAATAAAATTTTTGTAAGTATTTGCTTTTATTTTTCAATCCTTCTCCAGTTTCTTCTTACCACCAAAAATTTAGATTCTTCTGTTCACCATATATTTTGCTAAATTGTGAATATTTTATATGAGAAACATTGTATTTTGTTTTTCACCATTAACTCTTTAACCCGACAGTATTTTTCCATAATTTTTGTTTTTAATTTTGAATTAATTTCCACAAAATAGTAAAATCTAAGCAGCTCAACATTGAGGTGAGAACACAGATTGAAAGAAGGCTAGTATCAAAGAAAAATTGGCAAGAAGTTGAAGATTTCTAAACGTGGTTGTCCAAAAAAAAGCATTTAGAAACATGTGTAAGTGTTGATAGAAACGGAACTGGAACACTAAAAGTGACAACTGCTGTTGGAGATAAAACCTTGAGCAAAAAAAAAAAAAAAAACGGAAGGAAAATTGCTTTAGAGTTGACAGTTGAACTTAATTCCTCTCGACAACATCCACTGTCGCTACCAACTGTAATAACTGTCTTTAATCAGCGGGAAACAGTTGGTGCATAGATATCAATAAAACCCTGATATGGAAGATGAATAAACAGAAAAAGATGTATTATAGACAAAAAAGCATAAAAAACTGAACATTGACAGAGTTGCAAAACGTATTGTGAACAGACGAATCCAAATTTGAATTTTTTGGTCGTGAGAGAAAAATATGTGAGAAGAAAGCCAGGGGAAAAACTGAATGATGAATGTTCCAACAGTTAATCATGGTGGTGGGTCTGTTATATTGTCAGACTGTTTTGGGGAAGAGAGGGCTGGAGATTTGGATATAAAGACATACTATATCATCTGGGGTACGCATAATTGGAAAGAAATCATCTTTCAACAAGACAACGATCCCAAACGCTGTTCAAATTGATGTCAAAATTACCCCGAGTTCAAAAAGGAGCAACATTTCGCAAATTATGACCTATCTGCCTGAATCTCCTGACCTCTCTGCCATTGAAGTAGTATGGGATAAATTGGATAGGAGAATTCAAAGAGAATACCCAAAGCGTGAGAGTGAGCTTTTTCACTGATTCAAAATTGCTTGGGAATGTCTGTCTGGCATCTACTTTTTTTTCAACAACGGTTGGAAAGAATACCAAGAATATGTAAAGCAGTTATTAAGGAAGGTGGTGGTTTTCTTGACGGAAACAACATGTAATGTTGTTGTATGATAATCTTTTATATAGTTAAGTGATTATTTTTTGTCAAAATAAAAACAGATATAATGTAGCTAGTGAAATTTTGTCTTTTACTGAAAAAAATAGAAAAATCTTTAATATAAATTATCTGTAGTGTGTGTGTATATATATATATATATATATATATATATATATATATATATATATATATATTGATGTGAGTTTGTGACCCTTGGTTACACGTTATTTTTAGATTGTCAGATAAACAAGAGTTTTTCTGACGATCGCAAATAGCATGAAACCCCTGTCACAAAACCCACACCAATCCAACTAAATATGTTAGCTCTATCACTGATATTGAGCGCTTTCCAATAAGCACCGCGCATATACAATATATAAATATTCTATATAAAAATTGCATATATATATATATATATATATATATATATATATATTTTATATATATATATATATATATATATATATATATATATATATATATATATATATATATATATATATATATTATAATTATATAATTTATCTCGACAGAGAAAATTTACATGTTTCAAAAGTGAAACTAAATTTATAAATTTGAATATAACAATTAAACTTAATATTTATTTGTAAAAATACCGTATAGTCTATTAGTTATTAGAAGGTCGAAAGGTACTTAAGTCTATTTGAATAAAATTTTATTAATAAAATATAAGTACTAATAATATGTTTGCACATATTTAAATGACCGTTTTAGAAAGCCTTTGTGTATAAAAATATGAATTAAGTGGTTGAATGAAAATGCTTAAATTATTTTTTTTTTTATCATTGGAAACTCAGACGACTCAGTGAATAACAGAAGTATACCTAAACTTAACCTGACTTTGTAATTAGCATATATTGAATATATAATGTCTAAAGGGAAATTAAAACCTAGCTACCCTTAAATTAAAATAAATTTTCCTTAACCTTAACAACTCATAATATCAATATTGTCTGCGCTTATAAATTAAGTAAATTTCTTTGAAAGTTTATTCCTAACATCGCTTGATAATGGAGCGAGACTATGGATTTTAAGTTTAATTTTTATAATTAAATTTATAAATTTATTTCCATTTTTGAAACATGTAAATTTTCTGTGTCGCGATGGAATCATATTTTTAAAAAGAAAATAATTATAATATTTTGCTCAACTGCTTGTATCGAGCACTGTTTGTTTTTTTAAATATAAATAACTGCTAAGAACACCAGATTATAAATCTTACTGTTCTTTCTTATAATTTTACTATATATATATATATATATATATATATATATATATATATATATATATATTACTTAAAATTACCTTAAAAATTAGGCCTTTAAAAGTTGCATGATACGCGATTATGTACGGTAAATATTTAATTAAAAAAAATAAACACAACGTCAGTTTTCATCTGCCTCCTCGAAACCTGTTCTTTTATTGTCTTCTCTCTTCAAAGACGTTTTTCCAAATTTTACACTCTCAGTAACCTCGAGGCTTAGTGGCTTTATCGCTTTACTTTGGTTGAAATGATTAAAAAAAATACTAGTGTCTTTGATTCTCGTTGCGTACTCCTTACTTATAGCCTTTTACAAGATTGAGCTATATATATACATACATATATATATATATATATATATATAGTTTATGCAAACTTAGGTAATCCGTATGGGTAGACCTGAGGAGGATGATATCCAGAGAGCTCAATGTAAAATTCAGAGCAGATATGTTTGAATAAAAGACAGACACAGACCTATTTTAACCCCAGTGTGTCGGCACACTGGGGTTAAAATAGGAAACTAAAATGATACATATGACACACTCATATCCTCTCTCCCACCTCACTTCCTCACTTCGTTAACTTTACGTATACTTGATGAGGTCCGTAAAAAACGTGTGAATTTCTTTTCATTTTTCATTTCAGCTTTTGGAAGTAAAGTCTGATGATCCAGAACCCTGTTAAAGGGGTTATGGTGAAATAGCTTATTACATGGAATCTTAACGTGGTCTGTCTTTTATTCAATATATATATATATATATATATATATATATATATATATATATATATATATAAACCTATGCCAAATTCACTATAATTGATAGAATAGAAAACTTAAGAGCAGATAACATTAGAAAGATTTTAGAAGGACATGAAAATAAGTGGATACAACGTTTAAAAATGCACTAAACGGGCTTAATTACAAATTTAACAGTATAGATAGTATTAATATATAACCCCACAAATCAGGACCTACCCACGTATCTCACCCACACAAGACATAGATGCTTGCGGAGGGGTTGAGACCACACACTTATACACACACCCACACGAATATACACACTTACACACATCATACTCACTCACTCCCTAAGAACCAGATAACACACAACATCCCCTTACCAGGAACCAATAAAACTGTCAAGATGACCAAGGTGATTTAGAGCAGCATGAATCCATCCAGCTCTTATCTTAAATAACAACTTAAAAGAGACTGTTTGACCAACACAAGGTATGACAAAAAAAAAGTAAAATAAAAAATAAAACAAATGAAAACAACAGACAAAAGTTCATTTTCTCCATCACGACATTCATTTCTGTAGTTCACTGCTACCAGCAAGCAGAATTTTTTTTTCTCCTGATGATGGCCATGTTGGCCAAAACTAGTCGAAGAATCTAAATGAAATAATAATAAAAACGAAATAATATTAATATACAACCCATTGTGTCTAAAGATTTTAATTTTTTTTTTTTTTTTTATATATATATATATATATATATATATATATATATATCGATAGATAGATACAGACATATATATATATATATATATATATATATATATATATATATATATATGACAACAGGTATAAAGAAACGATCAGAAGACAGAAAGTAACAGAGCTGAAAGCGAACATTAAAAAAGAGTCGATTTTATTTAACTAACCCAAGTCGAGTATATCATCTTCAGCTTCTAGCTCTGTGAATCGAATCTTAAAAAAAAAAAACAACAAAAAAAAAAAAAAACATCTTGTGCAGCGTTACACGTGATCTGGACAATACATTGTCGTGATTGGCTGATTCTCTTGGGACAAAAGCTGACCATTTCAGCAGTAAAATTGGAGCCATGATCGCGTCTTTCATGTAACTACCAACTGCCGCCAGGTATAGTCGTATCTAGAACTAGTCGAAATTCCAAGCGACCAATACCAGCTTGTTGATATTATGTCATAGAATGACATGCTCTTGAAAGTGTTTTTATCAAGAAAAGGATTTGTGCTAACCACTGTGCATTCTCTTTTTACATATACCTATCAATAGACACATTAACAAAATTATATGCCGCGTATTGTGAAGTGAGTTCAGAGAAAAATGATTACAATCATATCACGTTGAAACACAGGTTCACGTATGCTCACCGAAGTTAAGCAACGTCAAGCATGGTCAGTACTTAAATGTGTGTCCGTTTGGAAATATCAGGTGTTGTAAGCTTGGATATACAGGTGGTGTAATGGATGTACGGGTGGTTTAATGGATAACCGTTCAGAACTAAAAGTCGGAGAGCCGAGTTCCAATTCCAGTTGGGTTCGTTATATTCACTTACGAGCAAATACTCCCCCCGACCCCGGGAAAAGTATTGATCCACCTCTTTTCCCTTCCAGCTATAGATCTGAAAAAATAAAAAAAAGAATCCAAATTAAAATAAGGCATTTGCGCTTTCCATTTTCTCTCTCTAAACGTCTCTCATCATACTTCTCTTTCAACTCTCAAACAAAAATAGGAAGAAGAAAAGACTGAACCGGCCAAAAAATGCTGGAAGTTTGCGAGACCAGAGCTCACAAATTTGTAATTGAAAACTAACAAAAATCAGGAAGGCTTCACGCATCACTTCCGTTAAAAAAAAAAAAAAAAAAAATGAAAAAGATTTTGTCCTGAGTTAACAAGAAGAGACTTCTGATGTCAGCCGAAACCAAGGTTCGCACCAGAGTCTCGGGACCTGGTCAAAAAGATATAAGCTCACACGGCGAGAGTGACGACAAAAGGTCCGACCGCTGGAGGAACCAGCCATGCGTGACGTGCGAAGAGGTCAACTGTTAATCATATTTCTGCCCTGCTTGAGGCCGAGAAAAACACTATAGATTGACAATGACCTATTTCTAAGATGACTACAATTATCTGACTTCCAAACTCTCGAATACCGATCTGAAACGGACTCTCTCCAGACGACGACCAATATACGCCTTGTAAACGAACATTTTGTTACACCAAATATCAAAGGACCCACTTTAAATAAAAATAGAATTATAGTATTTGATAAGGCATTTGCGTTTTCCATTCTCTCTCTCTCCCTCCCTCTCTCTCTCTCTAAGCTTCTCTCTATATACTTGTCTTTCAACTAACGAGAAGGCAACCCTCAAATAAAAAGAGGAAGAAGAAAAGACTGAACCCTGTCAAAAAATGCCGGAAGTTTGCAGGGCCAGAGCCTACTAATTTATGACTGAAAATTAACAAAACTCAGGGATGCTTCATGCATCGCTTCCGTTATAAAAAATTAAAAAGAAAGAAGCGCTGGAAAATAAAATAATTGTGTACAGAGACTTCTGATGTCAGCCGAAACCAATGTTCGCACCAGAGTCCCAGAGCCTGGTCAGAAGGATATAAGCTCAAACCTTTGAGCTACATAAAAAGAAAGGACGGTGAGAATCGACAAAAGGCACGACCGCCGGAGAAACCAGCCATGCGTGACGCGTAAAGAATCTGCTAATCATATTTCTGTGTTGCTTTAATCCACCTCTTTTCCCTTCCAGAAGAGCCAGCTGAAGTTTCTGGAACACATAATGAGGAAGGAGGGCCTGGAGAATCTGATGCTCTCAGGTTGAATAAAGGGAAAGAAAGACAAGGGAAAACAACGCATAACATTCCTGGCGGGCTTAAACAAGTGGATGACAGAAGGTGGTCTGGGGGAGAAAGCAGAGGGAACGAATTTGTTGAGTGCTGTAAGGGATAGAGGGAGGTGAAGAGCCATGATCGCTTACATCCTGAAAGGACATGGCACACGAAAATAAAGAAGTGAATGAGAAAAGTTTTTTGTTTATCTGTAAAGAGTGGTGGTAAGAATGAAAAAAATTGGTATAAAATAATTCGCGTAAAGATTTATCATGGAAAATTTGGTCCCAGAAATCATCTAAATATTCATCTAAATGAAAGGGGTATTAATTCAATCTGTTGTTAATTGGGGCAAGAAATGGCTTGTTAATTTTAACGCCTCCAAAACGAATCTGCTCTTTTTAACCGTCTGAGAGAAACTTTTAATATCTTCCATCAGTATGGCTGATGCTAACCTCCAGGAGAGAGTAAATCATTGCGTCTACTCGAAAGTTTCTAGGAAGGTTGGTTCACTACGTCCTGCTAGATAATTTTTTCTCAATATAATGTCTCTTACAAATTTATATGTCTTTCATTCATCGGTAAATTGAATATTATTGTCACATTTGGTCTGGTGTTTCTTCTATGTATGTAGAGATTCTTGACAACATCCAAAAAAAGAATCTGCAATGTTGTTGGCCCTGAGATGGCATCTCGGTTTCAGTCACTTTTCCACCGATGTAATGTAGCTACCCTGGGCCTTTTCTATAAATATATTCATGGTAATTGTTCTGATGAGCTTTCCTCTTTGATGCCTTGACTTTATGAATGTAAGCGCAGTACTAGATTGACAGTTAGGTCTCATCATTTTGTAGTTGAAATGGCTTGTTGCGGCCGTAAGTTCTATGCTAATAGTTTCTTCTCTCGCACTTCTCTCTTGTGGAACTCTCTTCCGACGTCTTTCTTTCCTGTCAACCAGGACCATCAAAAATTTAAATGCTAAGCCATCCTTCTCTCTGAAGGCCGTTCTTTTATTGTCCTCTCACCGCAATAGCGTTTTCTCCGTTTCTTTCACTCTAAGGAACCCCCATGAGTTTTAGTGGCTTTATCTCCTTGCTTGTAATGAAACAATTAAAAATAAATAATGACGAACATTACGAAAATATTGAAGGGAAATAAATGGGGAAATCGTCTGTGCATTGAATATTGTTGCAGCGTCTTGTGTTTCTATTATGGTGAATTTCTAAGAGTAGCTTAGATGTGGCACAAGGACGAAAGCATTGGACACCCAGTGAGGATCGAACTCATTACTCAGTCATAATTGTTTTAGCGAGACAAACTTGCTAACCATTACACCACATCGAAGTGTCCCTGGTGTTTCTGTTATGTATCTAGAGATTCTTTACAACACCCAAAGAAGAATTTGCAATACTGTATTTAAATTTGGAAACCAGAAGAAATCAGGATGATTTTTAACGTAAACAAAGTAATTTTTAAAGAAATGATGGATTTTTGCTTATTAAAATTTATAAAAATCCATTACATTGTTTACACTATTCGGACTATTGTCCTCATCTTTGTCGCCATATTTATTACAGCGTTTCAGCCGTTGTACGCTACGGCCTTCTTAAATAATGTAAATAATATACATAATACCTCATCTCAGAAATATAGACAGATACAAAAATCCATTAGTTCTTTAGAAAATTGCTTTGTTTACGTTACGATGCGATATTGAACAGATATGAATGTTTCGAGTGTCTGGGGAAAGATTTAAGTTTCTAAGATAATATTTAACTTTGCTTGATCATAGCCGAGATGTCACATCGGATTTTACAACAGTTTCCTCTATCCAGGGGGAGGTCGGTTTGAATTCTACTGAAGAGCACATTTATTAAGATTTCTCTAATATTCAGGCCGGTAGGCGAAAATAAATAAATATCATCATTATTCGAGTGCAGTCGGAATCTTCGAACCAATGCGAACGATCCTTTCTTTAGTTGTATAGTATGAGCTACATTTTTAAAATTCACTGTTATTTTCTCCTAGACCGGTTGCCACCCAAGGCTATAAATCCAGTCAGTCCTGCGAGAAGAAGAGGATTCATACCTTTCCCAAGTGAATGTGATGGTCCCGGCTGTAATTCGTACTCGTCTCTCAGTTTCCTCAGTTCCAGCCGCTATACATTATCCCACTATTTAATAAATAAACGGATACTTAAGTATGGGTAACCATTAATAAATAAACGGATACTTAAGTATGGGTAACCATTAAAAATAGCCCGTAAGTGGTAAACAGTTGTATAATCTGCACAACAGACAGCTTTTACCAAAGATTCCCGCTTGGATGTTTTCGTCAACAGTACGACCCTAACCTCTTCAATTCAAGTATCAATCGTTTTCTACCCGACTCTTAGCCTTAAAATCGTTACTTCCTTCCAACTCTTCTTTCATTCATTTTCACACCTCATTTATCAAAACCATTTTAACACGTACGATCACCGAAGTTAAGGAACATTGATTCTGGCCAGTACCTAGATAGATGACCGCTTGGGAATGCCACAAGCTGTAAGGTTGGATGTGCAAGTGGTAGAATGGATAATGTCTCGAAATTGCTAATCGGAGAGCCGAGTTTTAATTACCATTCCCTTACGCAAAAATACCTACGCGAATGGTATGAATCCACGTCTTCTCCCTCAAGCTAATTAATAAAACTTGTTTCATTAACGCCATTATCTCCACCCTAAGATTGGATAAATAAAATTGCGTACAAATGTGGTATTATGTACACTATTTACATTATTTGGAATATTGTCCTCATCTTTGTCACCATATTATCACCCTTCAGTATCTGTCTATATTTCTGAGATGAGGTATTATGTACACTATTTACATTATTCGGACTATTGTCCTCATCTTTGTCGTCATATTTGGCACAACGTTCCGACCTTTAAGTATCTGACTATATTTCTGAGATGAGGTATTATGTACACTATATACATTATGCGGACTATTGTCCTCATCTTTGTTGCCATATTTATCACCCTTCAGTATCTGTCTACATTTCTGAGATGAGGTATTATGTACACTATTTACATTGTTCGGACTATTGTCCTCATCTTTGTCGCCATATTTGTTACAACGTTTCGGCCTTTCAGTATCTGTCTATATTTCTGAGATGAGCTATTATTTTTTTGTGGTTCTGAAATAATTTATGGGAAGTAAGGACAAGAACGGGTAAAGATGGTCGAGCTGAAGCCAGCCTTGTGCTGAGTTAGGATGGTGGAATCTCTACTTCATGAGTCGGACTGCTGAAACCCGTCCGAACAATATCCCTGGAAAGTGGAAAGAGAAAGATTTTGTCTTTTTCGTAAGTGAAGCCATAAAATCGCACACGTAACCAGAAACCATTTTCGGTTTCTTTAAAATTTGCATCATGGGAAAATGAATTTATTTTTAATTCTTTATTATTATTTTATTTATTGGCTTTATTTCATTTTCCCACATTTCTACCTACCACGCCTTCAGTGTGTCCTGTGAGTGTTAAATTCGTCAAGCTTGCTTTCCTCATTATTTGACTTCAAAATTGCAGTCGTCTCTTTCTAATCATTTTCTTTGTCGTCTCAATTCCGTTGAGAACTTCCTCATTTGGCGCATGCTCGGTCCATGGTAATTTCAACATCACTATGAATAAATTCGCTTTTAGTGGGAATTACCAATTTTCCATATGCTTTCAACTACAGATATTTTCTACATAATTTTATACTTTTACGGTATGCTTTTTTATATATTTTTTTTTTAAGGCATAAAATATATTGTTGGCAATTTCACTATAAAAATGAATTTTAATGTCTTTTAGTGTTGCATTGATTACCATTTTGCTATAAAAATGTATTGTTGGTCCTTTTATGATAAAAATCTACAGCTGAATTTTGTTTGGAAGTTTGCTATTTGCCCATATCTGGGACCCTAACAGGTACTACCACGCCGGGTTAGAGTGGACTTGGGAAAAACAGCAGTTAAGTGGTGGTTCCACGTTCCCCAAAACCTCCCGATCAGAGGCCTTACTGCCGGATGTAGTTTATCGTCATACCCAGAACAACATAGGCTTCTTTAAAATAGGATCGTGCTACTTGATAATAAAATCGTAGTAAGGAATTTTCCAGATCAAATTTTAAAAATATCTCAAGTTGGAATGCCTTATAACTTTAAAGGGGTCTATATCCCTGGAAGAAGAAATGGATTCATGCCTTGCCAAAAGGAATCAGTGCGATGTGAACGCAGCTAGAGTTTGAACTCTTTTATAACCGATTCCATTCTGTGTGTCGTTAATCGTAAGGTCATCCGAACCTCTTCAATGACAGGCCCTTTGGATAATTTTTTTTTTAATATTGCTGCTGGAGCTGCTACGGTTGAAAACGATTTTTGGCTCCCTGCAATGAGACAGCATGTTATTTTTCCCACTTTTGCCAAGATACCTGATTGTGTCATTTCGGAGAGGAATTACTATTGATGGAATCTCAATGGTTCTGCGCCCGACTTGAGAATGTACCGGAACTTTCTGTTTACCAGGAAATGAAGTTCTGGTAAAGTCTTCACGGACAAACAGATGCGATGACATTCTCCGCAAACTGTCTTGGGTTTGGTACAAATGGCTGTCTTTGAATCGGCCTTATATTTCTCTTGATTTTATCTTTGCATATTTTTTCTTTCCTTTTTTTAATTTTTTTTTTGTTTATCTAGATTGTGTGGAGTCGGGGACGAGTTGCTTAACGAATTCCATTTGTTGATGGCAAAAAGGGATACGTCTGGATCGGTTTGGTTAAGTCCGTGCTCCCTACTTTTTTTGGTTTTGGACGAGGGAGAAAATACCGGTTGAGACGAGAAGAGGAGGAAAAAAAAAAAGAAAAGGAAAGAGAAAAAGAGAAGAGAAGAGAAAAGGAGAAGAGAAGAGAGATAGGGAAGAGAAAAAAGAAACGAGAAAAAGGAAGACAAAAGTTAGAGAAAATGTGGGAACAAAAAGAATAAAGTGAATGGAAAAAGAAAGAAAGAAAGAAAGAAAGAAAGAAAGAAAGATGAGGGGAAACAGAAAAAAAATATGAGAAGAGAAAAAGAAAAGAGATGAACGGAGAAGGGAAAAAGGAAAAGAATTAGAGAAAAGTAAGAAAATGAGAAGAAAAACTAAAAAGAGCAAGACAAGAGAAAAAGAAAGAGAAAAGGAGACGGCTAAGAGAGAAGAGAGAAAGTGCAGAAAAACGGGAAATTAAAGGATTAAAAAGACGAGAAAAAGAGAAGAAAAAGATGAAGAGAAAGCGAGAAGATAAAAGAAAAAGTGAAAAGAAAAAGAGGAAAGAAAAGGAGAAGACAAAAAAGGAAGAGAATAAGAGGAGAAAACGTGAAGGGACAATGACAATGAAAAAAGGGAAAGTAAAAAAAAGAAAAAGAGGAAAGAAAAGGAGAAGACAAAAAAGGAAGAGAATAAGAGGAGAAAACGTGAAGAGACAATGACAATGAAAAAAGGGAAAGTAAAAAAAAGAAAAAGAGGAAAGAAAAGGAGAAGACAAAAAGGAAGAGAATAAGAGGAGAAAACGTGAAGAGACAATGACAATGAAAAAGGAAAGTAAAAAAAAGAAAAAGAGGAAAGAAAAGGAAAAGACAAAAAAGGAAGAGAATAAGAGGAGAAAACGTGAAGAGACAATGACAATGAAAAAAGGGAAAGTAAAAAAAAGAAAAAGAGGAAAGAAAAGGAGAAGACAAAAAAGGAAGAGAATAAGAGGAGAAAACGTGAAGAGACAATGACAATGAAAAAAGGGAAAGTAAAAAAAAGAAAAAGAGGAAAGAAAAGGAAAAGACAAAAAAGGAAGAGAATAAGAGGAGAAAACGAAGAGACAATGACAATGAAAAAAGGAAAGTAAAAAAAAAAAAGGAAAGAAAAGGAGAAGACAAAAAGGAAGAGAATAAGAGGAGAAAACGTGAAGACAATGACAATGAAAAAAGGGAAAAAAAAAAAAAAGAGGAAAGAAAAGGAAAAAAAGACAAAAAAGGAAGAGAATAAGAGGAGAAAACGTGAAGAGACAATGACAATGAAAAAAAGTAAAAAGAAAGAAAAGAAAAAAAAAAAAGAATAAGAGGAGAAAAAGGAAGAGACAAAAAGGAAGAGAAAAAAAGAAGAGGAGAAAACGAGAAGAGACAAAAGGAATGAAAAAAGGGAAAGTAAAAAAAAAAAAAAAAAGAAAAGAAAAGGAGAAGACAAAAAAGGAAGGAAGAAATAAGAGGAAAAACGTGAAGAGACAATGACAATGAAAAAGGGAAAGTAAAAAAAAAAGAGGAAAGAAAAGGAAAAGACAAAAAAAGACAAAAAAGGAAGAGAATAAGAGGAGAAAACGAAGAGACAATGACAATGAAAAAAAAGAAAAAAAAAAGAAAAAGAGAGAAAGAAAAGGAAAAGACAAAAAAGGAAGAGAATAAGAGGAGAAAACGTGAAGAGACAATGACAATGAAAAAAGGGAAAGTAAAAAAAAGAAAAAGAGGAAAGAAAAGGAGAAGACAAAAAAGGAAGAGAATAAGAGGAGAAAACGTGAAGAGACAATGACAATGAAAAAAGGGAAAGTAAAAAAAAGAAAAAGAGGAAAGAAAAGGAAAAGACAAAAAAGGAAGAGAATAAGAGGAGAAAACGTGAAGAGACAATGACAATGAAAAAAAAGGAAAGTAAAAGAAAAAAGAGGAAAGAAAAGGAGAAGACAAAAAAGGAAGAGAATAAGAGGAGAAAACGTGAAGAGACAATGACAATGAAAAAAGGGAAAGTAAAAAAAAGAAAAAGAGGAAAGAAAAGGAAAAGACAAAAAAGGAAGAGAATAAGAGGAGAAAACGTGAAGAGACAATGACAATGAAAAAAGGGAAAGTAAAAAAAAGAAAAAGAGGAAAGAAAAGGAGAAGACAAAAAAAGAAAAATGTCAAAAAAGAAGAGAATAAAAGGAGAAAACGTGATGAGGAGAAGACAATAAGAAAAGGGAATTTAAAAAAAGAAAAAGAAAAAGAGAGAAAATGATGAAAAAGTAATTAAAAAAAAGAAAGAAAAACAGTGAAGACAAAAATAAAACTAGAAATGTTTACAAAAATCCGGATTTCGTATTCAGTTTTCGGCAGCTGCCTGAAACGGAAATTTGAAATCCTCATCTTTTATTTTCCCTCTTCTTTTATTTTTCCTCTTCTTTTTTTCCTTCTTCTTTTATTTTTCCTCTTCTTTTTTTTCCCTCTTCTTTTATTTTTCCTCTTCTTTTTTTCCTTCTTCTTTATTTTTCCTTTCCTTTTTTTTTTCCTTCTTTTTATTTTTTTTCTTTTTTTTTCCTTCTTCTTTATTTTTCCTCTTCTTTTTTTTCCTCTTCTTTTATTTTTCCTCTTCTTTTTTTTCTTCTTCTTTATTTTTCTCTTTTTTTTTTCCTTCTTCTTTTATTTTTCCTCTTCTTTTTTTTTCCTCTTCTTTTATTTTTCCTCTTTTTTTTTCCCTCTTCTTTATTTTTCCTCTTTTTTTTTTTTTTTCTTTTATTTTCCTTTCTTTTTTTTTCCTCTTCTTTTTTTTCCTCTTTTTTTTTTTTTATTTTTCTTTTTTTTTTCCTCTTCTTTATTTTTCCTCTTCTTTTTTTTTCTTCTTTTTTTTTTTTCTTTTTTTTTTTTCCTCTTCTTTTTTTTTCTTCTTTTTTTTTTTTTTCCTTCTTTTTTTTTTTCTTCTTTTTTTCCTTCTTCTTTTATTTTTCCTCTTCTTTTTTTTTTCTTCTTTTTTTTTTCCTCTTTTTTTTTTTTCTTCTTCTTTTATTTTTCCTTCTTTTTTTTTTTCTTCATTTATTTTTCCTCTTTTTTTTTTCCTTCTTCTTTTATTTTTCCTTTCTTTTTTTTCCTTCTTCTTTATTTTTTTCCTCTTCTTTTTTTTCCTTCTTTTTATTTTCCTCTTCTTTTTTTTCCTTCTTCTTTATTTTTTCCTCTTCTTTTTTTTCCTTCTTTTTTTTTTTATTTTTTTTTCCTTCTTCTTTATTTTTTTTTTTCTTCTTTTTTTTTCCTTCTTCTTTATTTTTCCTCTTTTTTTTTTTTTCCTCTTTTTTTATTTTCCTCTTCTTTTTTTTCCTTCTTCTTTTATTTTTCCTCTTTTTTTTTCCTTCTTCTTTTTTTTTTTCCTCTTTTTTTTTTTTCTTTTTATTTTTCCTCTTTTTTTTTCTTTTTTTTTTCCTCTTCTTTTTTTTCCTCTTTTTATTTTTCCTCTTCTTTTTTTTCCTCTTCTTTATTTTTCCTCTTCTTTTTTTTTCCTCTTCTTTTATTTTTCCTCTTCTTTTTTTTTCTTCTTTTATTTTTCCTCTTCTTTTTTTTTCCTTCTTCTTTTATTTTTCCTCTTCTTTTTTTTTCTTCTTTTTTTTTTTTCCTCTTCTTTTTTCCTCTTTTTATTTTTCCTTCTTTTTTTTTTTTCCTCTTCATTTATTTTTTATTTTTCTCTTCTTTTTTTCTTCTTCTTTTATTTTTTTCCTCTTTTTTTTTCTTCTTCTTTTATTTTTCCTTCTTTTTTTTTTCCTCTTCTTTTTATTTTTCCCTTCTTTTTTTTCTTTTTTATTTTTCCTCTTCTTTTTTTTCCTCTTCTTTTATTTTTCCTTTTTTTTTTTTCCCTTCTTTTTTATTTTTCCTCTTCTTTTTTCCTTCTTCTTTTATTTTTCCTCTTTTTTTTTTTTTTTCTTCTTTTTTTTTCCTCTTCTTTTTTTTTCCTCTTCTTTTTTTTTCCTTCTTTTTTTCCTTCTTCTTTTATTTTTCCTCTTCTTTTTTTTCCTTCTTCTTTTATTTTTCCTCTTCTTTTTTTTCCCTCTTCTTTTATTTTTCCTCTTCTTTTTTTTCCTTCTTCTTTTATTTTTCCTCTTCTTTTTTTCCTTCTTCTTTTATTTTTCCTCTTCTTTTTTTCCTTCTTCTTTTATTTTTCCTCTTCTTTTTTTTCCCTCTTCTTTTATTTTTCTTCTTTTTTTTCCTTTTTTCCTTCTTTTTATTTTTCCTCTTCTTTTTTTTCCTTCTTCTTTTATTTTTCCTCTTCTTTTTTTCCCTCTTCTTTTATTTTTCCTCTTCTTTTTTTCCCCTCTTCTTTTATTTTTCCTCTTCTTTTTTTTCCTCTTCTTTTATTTTTCCTCTTCTTTTATTTTTCCTCTTCTTTTTTTTATTACCTTTTACTTCTTTCCTTTGCTTTCACTTTTTTCTATTCTTTTTTTCTGTCCCGTCTCAACCAGCATTTTATCCCTCAAATTGTTAAAAATTGCTGCGAAACACTCGTCTCATCACTTGTTTTCCCTACACAACGTCTGACAAGAAAAATTTTCCTTGTGGATTGCTTTGTGGATTATATTTTCCCATGCTCTTCTAGTTGACACTCGATACCATAGAAAAAAACAAAACAAAAAAAAAAAACGAGGATTCGAAAATTCCAATGCTGATTTTCGAGGTAGTTAAGATAACTCACAAGGTAAAATATTGGTATTTGATCTATACAGTCTGCACTGCTACAACGGCCTTGTGCCAGACGAACCTTAATTTAGTAAATATCAAAGGCCTAACCTAGTGTTATGTTAATAAAATTACGGAATGTATAGAATCAGTCAGAAAGGAAAAACTTTCGTGGTTTTATCAAAATGTGATAACACCGTTTACTGTAGTACAATATTTTCTCGACAGATGGCGTTATGTTGGCGGCCCTTAGACTTGAAATTGAAAATGCATGCCTCAATCCCACTGGGCACGTTGGTCAATATAGCTCAAACAGTATTTCGTGGGCGTGGTCAATATGGCTCAAACACTATTTAAATAAATGTCTGGAAGCTAAAGACACCATTTTGAGCATCTCTTGTGATTTTAGAGTCCAAACGTAACTTGGATTAATCTCGTGACGTCTGTATAAATTTAATATCACAATATCTCTACGGGTTTTTCCTTTCCTGAAATGTGTATACATTCTTTGACGGACTATATATATATATATATATATATATATATATATATATTATTGCCTGTTTTTTAATACGTATTTAATAAAGGGTGTTTCATTAAGACGGATCAAAGTCAGCAGTAAATTATTCATTTCTCTACTGGATCATATTATTTAAGTCATGGTAATTATGTGTGAAAAATAATATCGCTTCGCCAAGGCTTCGGCAGCACACCTCCACTCGATGGTCAAAATTTTTGAAAGCTGTTGAATTGTTGTTGGCTTGTTAACATAGACCTTACTTTGAAGATGGTCCTAAAGAAAGAAATCTAAAGGCGTCAAGTCGCACGATCGTGGTGGCCAATTGACCTGGGAACTTCTCATTCAAATTCTGTTTGAACGTCCATTTTCGTAATAGGCTTAGATAACTTTAACACGTTGTTTGATTGTTAATCTTTCCATAACGGAAATTGCCAAAGACTTAAGTTGTTAAATGTGAAAGAAAAAGAAAAAAAAATCATTGGCGACAAGAAATTAAAAATGCAGGTGCCAAAATCTGGACACTTTGGTCAATGTGGCCTAAACAGTAGTTCAATGTACTAATAAATGTCTGGAAGCTAAAGGCCACCATTTTCAGCCTCTCTTGTGATTAGAATCTAAAGGTAACTTGTATTAATCTCGTAATGTTTGAATAAATTTGGTATTACAATATATATACAAATTTTTCTTTTCTTGAAGTTTGTATACATTCTTCGACTGACTCTGTATATATATATATATATATATATATATATAAAGACATTTTTTTTTTGTTCTATTTTATCATAAACAGTATTAAACAACATTTACCGGCCTGAATGTCCGAGAAATTTTTACAGAAAATATTCGTCCGACAGGATATTTTCTGTGAAAATTTCTCGAAAATTTAGGCTGGTAAATGTTGTTTAATACTGTTTATGATAAAACAGAGCATTTACTTAAATATTTGTATCTATAAAAAGAATGTATAAACATAACTGAATGGTCCGTGGATCGGATTAACTAGGCATAAAATAGTCAGTGAAGACCAGCCTCAAATTTTTCCCCCTTTTTAGGCCTTGTACCCAAATTGTATTTTATTTACAATAAATCTCATCAAACAGCATAATACTGTTGAGCACAAATTTTGAGACAAAAAGTTTTAAATGTTCATTGCTTATTGATAATCAATTGTTAAAACTACTGCACTGTATACTCTATTACATCATAATCAGTCTAAATTGTTCAGTATAATTTCCCTTTGAAGTAAATGAAGGTCTTATTTCATGGCGCTATGATTTAGTAATAATGTGCTTGTGCCATGCATCTTCTTCATAAACAATTTGTGAAGCTTCAGTAGTTTATTTAACTGTTTTTTCCACACCTTGCGTATGTGCAATTAGATTTGGTAAATCCAGTGTTGTTTCATTCATTAGAACCTCTTGCAGTTCATTATTTGAAAAACCTTCTGGAAGCGCAGGTTCACAAACTCCATTTTATAAGAGGTTAATCAAATTTGATCAGAGTGTCACTGCAGAGTTGAATGTAATTTTTTATATTCTTCTCTGGTAGATCGCTACTTCGGAAACAACAAAAAATATATTTTTGTGCTGTGAAGTTTTTGATACAACATTCTCTATTTCAGTCGACTATTGATTTATTCTCTTGATCATGTTGAACATATATTGAATTTATTATTCCTTTTAATTTTAAACAAACTAACTTCATATATTTCAATTATAAATTTTATAAGGCTGTACAATTTATCATAGAGTTCTGGTGGATAGATATCTCTGGTCTATAAAAACATTAATCGGATGGCTAAAGTTAACCATCTTGATTGATTTCCAATTTTCCAAATAGCAAATATAGGGTGGTAATATAGGGTGATATTTGTACTTTAAGGCCCGCACACTAATCGTAATTAAAATTTCCTTAAAAAGTTTCATTTCGGTGTAAATTTACATGCTTATTTGGAAAATAGCAGTAAAAGTTTGCGGAAATCTATCGTTTTGGCATTATCGACAATAAAATTTCGGCCTCATTCGCGTCGGGTCTGTCCGCCATTACTGGCGTTATTTACATACATTTGCCACGATCAATCATACGCGGAAGCTTACTTAGGTAACGGCCTTTTTACTGATCTTCCTATCTTCTTTTTCGTTTCAATTATTGCGCAAAACCAAAAGAAGTTTTTAGACAAATGTTGAAAGTGAAGCTTTTGTTCAAATATTTTAATTTGCTTAAGTTATTGAAAAGTGTTGTTTTTTTTTATAGTGAAGAATTTTATAGTGAAACTAATAATAATGAATTAATGACTTCTTGTTTAAATACTAAAACAAATTTTAATTTACAAGTTTACACGTCCAACATAAATAAGATTCACCCAAATTCGGACGCAAATAAAATTGTGAATTCCATCGCAAAAGGTAGTCTTTCCGTAACTGTCATTACTATTTTGTAAATAATCATGCTTAAATAATATTGCTTAAAATTGTTTCTGTTATTATTAAGTCTTTATTTTTCGTAAATAATCATGCTTTTTAAAACCCCAAATTTAATTAAAAAAAACTGAACCATAAAATTGTTCTTGTTATTATTAATTATTTCTAGTGTTTTTTATTATGTAAATAATCATGATCTCTTTAAATCTATCGCAAAATTTGCGCATTGCGTGCTCAGTAATCAAGACAAGTGAAGCTTCCGTGAAATGTGCATGAAAGGAGGATTGCTGCCTAAACACACACACACACACACACACACACACACACACACACATACATATATATATATATATATATATATATATGTGTGTGTGGTCCGAAAATGCCTTCCTCTTCAGGGGAGCTGGTTTGCCGAATCTTGCAGTGAAGTCATGTCGCACATCCTCTATGCTCTTGCGAGAATGCACACGATCATGTGTCCACACACTTGCAAGCAGCCTCTCTTCCAAAATGTAGGAAATCGTGTCAGTGACCTGAAATAGAAAATTATATTAAGTAGGGATGACAAGACTTTCGGACCACACTGTACTTGGATTCAACTCTAAATGAAAATTCATTTTGATCAAGTGAACAGCCGCTGGTGTGCAGTTTTCTTTTAAATTTTTTATCTCCAGAATTGTAACAAGATTTTATTGTCGATAACTCTTAAACGGTAGATTTTCGCAAGCTTTTACTGTTATTTTCGAAATAAGCATGTAAATTTGCACCGAAATGGCAATTTTCAGAAAATTTTAATTACAATTGGTGTGCAAGGCTTAAACTTCAAATTTACCTCTAGTGTTCACTTTTCCTCGAGAAATTTCTGCTGCATATTTTAAGATCAGTATTTGGTCACCACTTAAGCCTACCCTTGCAGTAAGATAGACGTTATCTAGAGGGCTATTAGTGTTAAATCTTACCTGGTGCAAAGCCTGGTAATCCTTTTCATAAAGTGGGTCAGTAACAGTAGTAGGACTTCATCAATGTACAGGATGGTCGCAGTGTCTTGTCACCCGCTACCAGTATCGCCCTCTTCGGAGGAGCTGGTTTTCCGAATCTTGCAGTGAAGTCATGTCGAACATCCTCCACGCTCTTGCGAGAATGCACACGATCATGTGTACATACACTTGCAAGCAGCCTCTCTTTCAAACTATAGGAGCTCGTGTCAACCATCTGAAAAAACATGAAAATCTGAAAATTATATTATGTACGATTGACAAGACATTTGGATCACACTGTTTCTCTCTCTCTCTCTACACACACACACACACACACACACACACACACACACACACACACACACACACATATATATATATATATATATATATATATATATATATATATATATATATATATATATATATAGTGATGGTCACCCTGTACAAGGCCCAAGGGACACTCAAGTAGACGGTTACAGATTAAGAGACATAGCTTATGCCGATATGTATGGAAGATAAGAGTTAATCCTAGACTTAAACGTGTTAAGATTGTAGTGATCAGGGAAACAAACTCTTGAGAGTCGGTTCCACAAGTTGTTCGTGGGTAGCGGCTGCTTGAGTGGAACTTACATCTCACCAGGGGGATACAAAGAGACTGAGGGTGCAGCGCTACAATATATATATATATATATATATATATATATATATATATATATATATATATATATGTCATTGAAAACAATAGACAAGGTGCTTTTATTTAGTTTTTTTATACAATTTCTCATGCGATCTAATAATTTTTTTCTTTTCGGATGAAAGAAGGATTTCTGCCTAAATACACAAATTTTTAATTGCATGACATGGCAGCCAACAAGAATAGCGACATAATAACTTTCAGAAAAAATCTTGTTTTACGACAAATAACGAAAGCTGAGAATGAAACCCAACATGTAAATAATGAAATCCAAAAACATATTGCACTACAGAAAAACACTTTAACCTAAACTGAATATAATGAAGCACAATACCACATCAACATAAGTATTAATAATGATGAACTTGACCAGCGACAAATAATTAGAAAAAAGCAGTGCAACTTATACGAAGGAAATATTCTACTTCTCAACAAACATAATAAATACATAAAGCTATCAACTCACAGATTAAAACATACATACAACAAACTATTTCTTATTTTAACAGTCAAAATATAATCCTTGAAAATGGCTAAATGTATAGCCGAAAGCGCCTGGATAAAAAGAACATTCGGACAGTTTTTATATAATTTATCATCCGTAAAGAAATAAATTATTAGATCGCATGAAGAAATTGTATAAAAAACTAAATCAAAGTACCTTGTCTGTCGTTTTCAGTGAAATGTGCATGAAAGGAGGATTGCTGCCTAAACACACACACACACACACACACACACATATATATATATATATATATATATATATATATATATATGTGTGTGTGTGTGGTCCGAAAATGCCTTCCTCTTCAGGGGAGCTGGTTTGCCGAATCTTGCAGTGAAGTCATGTCGCACATCCTCTATGCTCTTGCGAGAATGCACACGATCATGTGTCCACACACTTGCAAGCAGCCTCTCTTCCAAAATGTAGGAAATTGTGTCAGTGACCTGAAATAGAAAATTATATTAAGTAGGGATGACAAGACTTTCGGACCACACTGTACTTGGATTCAACTCTAAATGAAAATTCATTTTGATCAAGTGAACAGCCGCTGGTGTGCAGTTTTCTTTTAAATTTTTTATCTCCAGAATTGTAACAAGCTCCGCCTCACAACCAGGGTTTACACTGGTATTGTCCACAAGAACTGCCTTAACAGAATTTACGCTCTTAAATTCTTCTAAAACAGCACCAATATCTTCTGCTATTACAGTACCAGTTGCATCAAGGTAAAGGATAACTCTATGGGGGATGGATGTGCGTTGCGGTGTAACGAATGTCGGCTCAGAATGAGAACTCGGAGAGACGAGTTCGAATTCAGGTCGGATTCGTTGGATTCACTTACGCACAAATACCCTAGGGAAAGGTATGAATCCATCTCTTCTCCCCCCAGCTATGGGTTAAATATCAGAACAGACTGCGTTTTTAGCCTTGGTTGGCAACCGGCCTACCGCAGAAAGAAATGGCAACCTACTGTGGGAAAAAATCTTCTGCCTCGTCAGTCATGTGTCGAAAGGTACATGATCGCCCAAACGTATATCACATGTGGCACTTAACTGACTGACTATGGTGGAAATATTTACTTTCTTTGTTCATCTCTAGTAGTGAAAGTCAAGGCTGGAAGATACATCACCCTTAATAAGTTTCATGGCCTATCAACAGGCACTCTGGTTTCCATTTTTTCGCTGTTTTTCTTTCGTAATCTCTTTGTATTGATAAGTGTCTTTATCGACTTTGAAATTAACATCGATGCAGATGATATGTTCATGGTTCTCTATATTCTTCTGATAGGTGGTTAGTTTTAATCTAACCTTTTCTTTGTCTATTTTTGACTCATCAATGATAGGACTAAGTTAAGGCTTGGACGAAGAAATGCCATATCTTGTAGGTCTAATAAGAAGGAATTATCAAACCATGCCCCGAAGTTGGAAGATATATCACTCATAATAAGTTTCATGGCCTATCTAGAGACTAAGTTTTCTTAGACTTTCTCCTTGGCTCAAAACTCTCATCAGTTGTGTCTTCACTGGAAGTCATTGGTGGAAATAAATCTAATGCAGAAGCAACATGTGTAGAATCCTGTTATTACTATCTTTTAACCGACCTGTCTAATCTCTCTGCATCAGTTGCACGTTTTTGATATTTTTGACAGAGTCTTTGTCAATAGTTCTGTTATATTCCGTGCTAATAGGAATATATACTTGAAAATCAAAGTGGATAAAATAAGTAAAGGTTTGTTGTAAAAAAAAACAAAACAGGACAATAAGAATAAAGGTAACAGTCATGCACAAGGTGGTCACAAGTCAATCCAGTAGTGAGTGCTACTATTGGAAGGTCAGTAGTTCTCGTGTAATTCTGAGTCGTACTCAACATACCCAAGCTAGTAATATTTACCAAACTTTCCACGGGGTAAGGTGTAGCACAAGGGCGAATTTAATGTGGGGCAATCCAAGACCGTAGGCTCGGTCAAAAATTCCCCGTAAAACTCGCATAAACGGATTCTGTTCTGTCTACGTCCCCGGACAAGACGCTGCCCTTCGGCATAGCCTCGCCCGGGTTCTCCTCTGCCCGAAGGCAGAGAGTTCGACAGCAGCTAAGAGCTGAGTCACAGATCCCAGATAGCCTCTGTAGTCCGTTGACTTACAGATACTTATAGGGAGTTACTACCTATAGTGTAGTCACTCATGAGGGTGACAGGTGATCTCAAAGAGGAGATTAAGAAAACAAGGGGAGACCACCTCTTGATTATTCATAAAATAGACAAACACATCATTTTTAATAAACGCCAGTCACATCGAAAAAAAAAAAAATATGTAAATTAAACAAAATATTGTATAAAAATACAAAAGGAATAATTCATTTTATAATGGCAAACAAAATGCTTACAACGGTGAGAACTTAGAATATACCCATCGAAAGAAAGTTCCGGTACAATATTCATAAACGAAATATATTTATTTAACGACTGTTGTTTTTAAAATGAATAAATTATTTTTTATGTGGTTTCATGGTGCGTTTTTTTTTTGTTTTAGAATTAGTCTAAATTTTTCCCAGTGAAAAAAATAACAAAATCTAAATTTTATAAGAAAATAAAAGGAATCGATTTTCATCGTTGGCCACAACCTAAATACATATTGTATTTAATTTCCATTTTGTCTTTTTTAAAGTGAATATATTTATCTTATTCATAATTCTAATTTATTCTCCTTTGATTTAGTGAGAACGAGTAAATGTTGTAATTGGTAAATTCTTGGTAACGTTTATAATGACAATTCGAATGTATAAAATAACCACTGGACAATAGAACATTTTGAAGACTGACGTAAAACACATCAGACGGAAGTTGGAAAAGCGATATAAAAGTTAAATAGGCATTTCAATAAGAAATATTTGAATGAATTCTTACTGCGGAAATGCAAGTTCTATCTATCTATCTATCTATCTATCTATCTATCTATCTATCTATCTATCTATCTATCTATCTCAGTATCCCCTTGTGTTTTAGCGGTTTTTATAGCATTTCTTTGGGCGAAATGAGTTCTTCAAAAATCTATCTATCACACCCTCTTTAGCGATAGAGTAGGAAAAAGTTTAGCTGTAAAGGTCTGAACTGGTGGAACTAAGGAATGTAGCTCATCTGAACATTTGCCATGGAAATAGCGATAGAGTAGCAAGAGGCTTAGCTGTAAAGGTCTGAACTGGTGGAACTAAGGATTGTAGCTCATCTGAACATTTGCCATGGAAATAGCGATAGAGTAGCAAGACGCTTAGCTGTAAAGGTCTGAATGATTGCAACTCATCTGACCATTTCCCATGGAAATAGCGATAGAATACAATATTAGAATAGAAATTCAATTAATTTAAATATTCATGTCTAGACAAATGGACAACTCACTGCTTGTTCTATTTATAGCTTTTCTCATAATTGGTCGTCTGTGATTCAGTCCACTCAGAAAAGGAGCATACTTGTTTTATCTTTTATATATATATATATATATATATATATATATATATATATATATATATATATATATATATATATATATATATGTATTGATTATAATATATATATAAGAATACTTATGTGCAACGATGCTCCTTTTCTGTGCAGACTGTATCTCAGACGAACAATTATTTTTTTTATTCCTTTTGCAAAATTGGAGAAAGCTACAAATAAAACAAGTTCAGAGTAGTCTATTTGTCCAGACATGAATATTTGAATAAATTTCAAACGCAAATTAAGAAAATTCTTCAAAATAAGAAAATAAGTCGTATAATTTGAGCAAAAAAAGTCAATTTTTTTTTTGTATAGAAAAACAAGCGTAAAAACAGAGAAATGACTTTGCCTGAAACTGTAAAATCAGCCGACATTACTGTAATTGCATCTTCGTTGAACGTAAAGAAAAAAAAATGCAATTTGAAATCCCAATTTCCATTTGTGTTATGTTCAGAAGCATGTGGAATGAAATTATTGGAAATAATAAAAAAAAAATACAAATTGTGCAGATATCAACTCTAATTACAATTAGGTTGTATGTTTTATTACTGCGACTTATTAAGTTTTTGCTTCAGACGTGGCACAAGGCCAAAAGTATAGGGCACCGAATGAGGAACGCACTTACTATCCAGTCGTAATTGATCTAGTGAGACAAGCTTTCTAACACCGCGTTAAAATGCCCGTTGTAGAAGTTATAACTGCGATCAAGTACCAATTTATGCCAGGCCTTTTACGGAAACGCTAGACAATACGATGTGGTGTAATGATTAGCAAGCTTGTCTTGCTAAATTAATTACGACCGGGTGGTTAGTTTGATTCTCACTGGGTGTCTCACTCTTTCGGCCTTGTGCCACACCTATATTTAGGAGTTCGTATTAGGCACTTCGACGTAATGTAAAGTTAAGCAATCTCATCTACTGTCACTTTCTCACATACATACCGTGGCTACCCCCTGTCTTTTCTACAAATATTTTCATGGCAACTGCTGACAAACTACTTTCACTGGTACCCCAACTGCATGAATTTAAGCGTGCTACTAGGTTGGCATCTCGGTCCCACCCTTTCACTGCCGAAACGGTTAAATGTAAACGCCTCTTCTACTCCAACAGCTTCTTATCTCGCACTTCCCGACAGTGGAACTCCCTTCCTCTTACTTGCTTCGCTGATAGCTATAATCTTCAAATATTCAAATGTAATGTTAATCGATATGCCTTGATATTGTTCCTCGTCCTTCTCTATGTCCTTTTTCAAACCCTCCCCCTCTTTACTCTTGCTCTCATTATCTGTAACCCTTTGCGTGCTAATGGCACTCCCGCCTTGCTTGGGGTGATATGCTTAAAAAAATCATTTACGTGTAAATACCTATGGGAAAGTTATGAATCCACATCTTCTTCCCCATAGCTATGGGTTAATTAATCGTATTTATAAGTCACTTGTTATTATCTCCAAAACAGTCAGATAAATCTAAAGATATTTTCTGACTTTAAATAACCTGCAAAAGGTTGATAAGCCGCAAAAAAGCAAAATCATCAATAAAAACTTCAATGCAGCTCAATTTTTCAATGAAGCTGCTTTTTATTCATTCACCTGATTGCGCTATTCTGTCTAATTGTTTTATAGACTAGTTCTGCTGTTCTACATTTTCTAACGTCTTGTCTGCTGGGGCTTCAGAATACGCCGACTACACCGTCCAGTGAGGTGTCCTGGGTATGACGATAAACTACGTCCAACAGCAAGGCCTCTAATCAGGAGTTTTTGTGGGACGTGGAAACATCTCTTAATTGCTAGTGTTCCCAGTTCCACATTAACCCGGGGTGGTAGTACCTGTTAGGGTCCCAGCTATGGGCAAATATTTAACCCTCAAACTGGGGTCAAAACATTATGAAAGTGTAAAAATAGGTTTTTATTGTGAAAATCCCAGCAATACATTTTTGTAAAACAAAAATGATTACCTTCAATACATTTGACTTTCGAAAAAAACCCTCTTTACAAAAATACGTCATTGAAACCTGATCTACAAACTGATTTCTTACAAAGAATACAAAAATAGAATATGTATTTTTGTAAGAAATCAGTTTGGAGATCAGCTTTCATTGACGCATTTTTCTAAAAAAATACAAAAAATCTTGCCGGCATTAAATAAATTATTGTGTCTGATATGCCGTAAAACAAAATAAACCATATTCTATTCATACGAACCTTTCCTAAAAATCTTGTCGGCATTAAATAATCCGCTGAGGCTGATATACCATAAAACAAACAAACAAACAAACAAAAAACCCTCTTTAGAAAAATGCGTCAATGAAAGCTGATCTACAAACTGATTTCTTACAAAAATACATATTCTATTCATACGAACCTATCTTAAAAATCTCGTCGGCATTAAATAACCCATTATTAAATAAACCAAACCATTAAACCATTAAATAAACCATTATTTAAATAAACCATTAAATAAACCATTAAATAAACCAAACCAATCTACATTTTCTCTGATAACCTGCAACTGAAAAACATGAAAATATCTATACAACATATTCTAAGGTAATGTGTGTGTGTGTGTGTGTTTAAGCTTTTCACCCCAAGTAAGGCGGGAGTTCACTAGCACGCAAGGGGTTACAGGGAATTGGAGCAAGAATAAAGAGGGGGTTATAAAGGAAATGATGAAGAGAAGGACGGGAAATAGATCAAAGCTTCTGGAGATGTCGATTGACATTGCATTTGAATAGTTGGAGATTATAGCCATCAGGGAAACAAGTAACAGGAAGGGAGTTCCACAGACGGGAGGTGCGAGATATGAAGCTATTGGAGTAGAAGAGACAGCTACATTTAATCGTTTCAACAGTGAAAGGGTGGGACCAATATGCCAGCCTAGTAGCACGCTTAAATTCATGCAGTCTGGGAACCAGCGGAAGTAGATCGTCGGAGCAGTTACCGTGAGAGTATTTGTAGAAAAGACAGGGGGAGGTGACGGCACGTCTGTGTGTTTGTGTGTGTGTGTGTGTGCATGTGTTGCGTTTTTATGTGTGCCTAAGCGTGTGTATTTGTATGTATGAGTGTATGTGTGCATGTGTCTACGTACTACATACTATCTAAATGTTCGACAAACTGAGGAAAATGTCTTTCAAGTCATTGTACGCTTGTATCAGATTGCATTTCCATGCCGAAGGCAGCCGAGTCTCCGACCTTTGCTACTGTTTATCATCGTGTTGCTGACGCAGTATCCGTGCACCCCAAACTATGGACCGAGATCCAGTCGTACGCCTGACCACGAAGAACACATTCTCCAAGCTGTCGGAGACGATCCAGGTATCAGCACAAGTGAAGTGGTCCTTGTTTGGGTGTAAGGAACCCGTCCCAAAAGTTTATAAAAGTATTTTTGATACACCCTATATATGTCAACAGGTTATTTCTATTAAATGGGTATTTACAATTATTTCTAGTTTGGGCCTTAATTCACTGGTTTTTTCTTTATTGATTCGTGACAAAAGAAAGCAAATTAAGGCAAGTACATGGAGTGCTTTGCTATATTTAAGCCTTGAACCACTCTAAGCTTATTTTAGAAAATTCTATATGGATGCGGAGTGATGGTTAACGAGTTAGTCTCGCTGGAGCACTCGCTAATTTTATGTGGAAAAAGCGCTCGTTATTCTATCCTTATGGCAGACTAGGTTAAGCTGAGTCATTATATAAAGGCATGTTCGTGTCTCTAGAAATATTAACACATCAGTCACCACCCGAAGACGAGCATGGAGTGAATGTGCCGAGGCGTACACACAAACATATGCATGATCACTGGAGTGGCTTTTTATCGTTGCGTTGCTGAAGCAGTATCCGTGGCACCACAAACTATGGATCGAGGAAGACCGAGATCCAGTCGTACGCCTGACCACGAAGAATACATTCTATAAGCTGTCAGAGACGATCCAGGTATCAGCAAGTAACCTTAGCATGTCTATATCTTGTAGGAATCCTTCTACTCGGTTTTTTGTTGAATGTTAAAATTTTCGCTCGTAATTTGACCGTCTAGAATAATCACACGATTTTCATTGAAGGAATAAAATTTAGTAGAAAAGACAATATAGTTTCAACAAATAAACATTAATTTAATATAACGACAAGAATACAAGCTGATGATAGATTGGAAAGTAATGTCTTTGTTTGGGTTAATAAAGTTCTGGAGGAAAATATAAACTGTCTTTGTGTACGTATGTGAGAAACAATAAAATGTAATATGTGTGTTTGTATGAAAAAGTCAACACGTGATTCATAGTAAAGTGGATATAAGAGATAGAAATTGTTTCTTACTGTTGGCGGTGTTGCCGTAGTCTGAAGTTTGTCAACGCTGTCGCTTTTAGCATGAGGTCGTGCAGATCATAAGCGAGACTTGTGTGGAGTTTGGTGACAGCCGCGTGTATCCTCTTTGGGAACGGATTTCGTATGTTTTTATACACTTTTTCGTAACAAAATCGGTTCCAGAATTAAATTA